GCCCTCCCGCGGGAGCTCCGATAGGCCTGGGGAGGGTTAACGACGACTTGCCCGGCGGATTCCGCCTCTCACTGGGCACGGCTCGTAGGTCGTCAACGGTGCCCGCCACGTTCTAAATTTGCTGGCACTGCTCCTCCAAAAATCGCAGCAAGTCATTAAAGGGCGGAACATAGGAGGCCCCATCTCCGCCGTACCTCTCCTCAAAATGTATTCGAAGGTCGAGAGGTAGACGGGACAGCACGATGCGGAGCAGCAAAAAGGCCCATTCGCCCACTGGTAAATCCAGCCCCCTCAACGTATTACAGGCCACCAAGACTGGATTCAACAGTTCCGGACGTAGTCTGGCCCGGTCACTCAGCAGTGGGAGGCTTAGAAGCTGCTTAACATGTTCGTCCGCAATTCGCCGAACGTTGGCGTATCTTCTGGCTAGGAGGTCCCGAGCAGTCTGGTAGGCGTCGTCCGACAATCCTAAGTGGCCGACGACGCCCACGGCCTCCCCCTCCAGTGAGGCCAGGAGGTACGCCATCTTCGGGCTCAGGGTCAAGTCACTCCGGGCGTCCACTAGGCTGTCGAAAAGACCAACGAAGGTCAGCCATTCGGAAAGGACCCCGGAGAACCTTGGCAAGTCCAGAGTTGGGAGTCGTCCCAACAGCTTCGGCTGAGGCTGCCTCCGAGAGGACTCAGGCAGGCTACTCATCTGAGCTTCACGCGCCTCCTCGGCATACCTGCCTTCAGCCTCGATCAACTCGTCCGTGAGCGAAAAGAAGTGCTCGTAGTCCGTGACGCAGGAGTATAGGACTGCCTTTTCCACATCCGAATCCTCGAGCTCAGCGTAAGCCTCCTCCACTGTGGCTCTCCGAACATCGACCTACTCGAGCCGCTTCATCAAGTTATGGACCCTATCCGGTCGACCTATCAAAGCATGGGCGCTGGTGGCCCAGCGTAACTCAGTCAGCAGGCAACGGGTTAGTAGCTTGGGCGATGATATCACTACTAAATACAAATTACGACGCGGCTCGAGCACAAATTACAAAATAACAAATAACAAATACAAAAAAAAAATTAACAGTTAACAAATGCAGTTCCTATGAAATCGAGTTTATTAGAAATTACACTAATACGAACTACTACCTATTAATTAAATACAAGTTAGCACAAAAGAAAAGACACAAATCAAATCAACAAATAACAAATACTAGTGCGATCAAATCAAGTTAAATTCAAATTGAGCAAATACTACTCTTTAGCTCGAATACAAATTACAATACGTCTAAAGATACACATCACGGTTGATCAACAAAGAATGCCTCGCTCGGAAATCGACCCTTCGATAAGTAATCCACTACAACTATCCAACAACGATAATTAACCGATTACGTGATAATAAGCATCTACCTACATGAAGCATACATCTAGAAAAACTCCCGCTTGCGCACTAAATGGGCGTGGCTTTTCAAATCAACCCGCTAATCAAATAAGCAAGCAACAAAGGAAAATAATTTTATTATTACGTACAAAAAAAATATTTTTACGTATTACGGACGGGCGTGATTGTAGACACAAAATTAAACCAATCAAACCAACGCTCCCTGCCACCAGAATTGTTTAATTTTTATCAAACACTATGGTCGGGATCGACCGGGGAATCGAACCCGGAACCACGCTCTGCTACCAATTTGTTACGGCGTGCAGCTGCCTATCCAAGAGTAGGATCTTCCCGGCACATGAAGGAAGATCCCACAAGCAGATGCAGGTCGGGCCTCCTAAAGCCAAAGTGGAAAATCTCTAATTACAGTAAACAATAAGGGGGATCGTTCTATCCTACTGCCATTCAACAGGGAGACTTTTAAAACCGAGCTTACCTACCTATATCCAAGGCGACTGGTCACTCAGGGTTCGGTCAGGTCGCATGTGGTTATATGGTGCATGAGAAGTCAGGGTCAGTGATGTGTATCGGTGTGTGACTGAGTGTGGTAGACCTTATGAGAACGTTGCCGTCGGCAGCAGCTCGGACTTCAGCACCGCTCCAAATTGTGGTAATCTTCCGCGGAGTCGTCCACAGTCACTTTCTTCGTTCGTCACGAGGACAGTCCTTAACTTTATCGCACAATTAACTAACTTCCAGAAGCCACTAACTCTAATTTGTTATAAAGCGTCATACCCAACACAAATACAGCATGTCGGTCTATACGAAATCCCGTTACTATAAGCAAAAACGTAACACACCGCACGAACACGAGTGTCCGGATCAAAGTTCACTACCGTTTCGCGTGGCAACAATTATTTCTAGAATATCAAATGCCGCAGTAGTAGCTAATATTATCGAATACCCTTATACAGATTCTGAGTTAGACACAAGAAGTCCCGGGAAAAGCTCTCAAACAAGGAACGCGCGATACGAATGCTAGACCGTATATTTACTAGACGCGCTTTAACTATTCCGCTTTCCCGCACAAAAAATGACAGCGTGCTGTCCCAAGCACAGCTGGCAAACGACTCCTGCGCTCACGCGCACTCGCCACACCGCTCGACCGAACGTCAAAACCGGTATGGCGCCGAGCCGAGCGCCCTCTGGTGTCAAATTCCGAAACCAGCGTTCGGGCGTGAACAAATATTTTTAACAATAAAAAAATCTGTATCTCTAAAACGAAAGATTGGATTCTTTAAGCAATTAAAAAAATTCGCTGCTTTTTCTACTACCTACGATCTTTTTAAATGTACTTTTATATCTTAAAACTTCCCTTTCTCGGTTAATTTTGAACGGAGAGAAAAAATTAAAAGGCCTTTTATATGTAGAATTTTAAGCTCTATACATTTTTATTAGAACTTTGTTATCTAATTTTTACTGCCTTCGAGTAATTGCGAAAAAACACTTTTGACATTTTTTTCAGCCCACGAAAATATTTAAAGTTTGATTTTATATCATTAAAACTGCATTATATCAAAAATGCAAAGTTAAGTGCCAAAATTTTTATTTCTGACCTTATTTGACTGAACTATAATGTCTCGTACCACAAGAAAAGGAAAGAAACCGAAAATCGCTAATTTGTAGTTATATTACCCATACCTACCAAATATATATATATATATGTATATATATATATATATATATATATATATATATGCGATTACAAACTAACATTCTTGTAGTTGAGTCTTCGATCGCGATGTTGACCGATTTATGGAGGAATATGTTTTTCACAGTAAAGCTACATTTGTCATTTAATGATACGTATCTTTTCACTACAGCTAGGTTCAGTGCTTACCTTACCTACAATTTATGAACTTCGTCGTTTTTAATGATCCTTTCATACTTATCTAAGTTTATACGGAACCCGCAGGACGCAAGTTCTACTCACATTTGTCCGTCATTTTTTTATTCTTCTATTATTAATAACTTAATTTAGAGTTTATCATTTACCTGTATAGTGATCCTGGCTTTCATATTTCGCCAAGACTACTAATTATATATTTACATATATCGTCCCCGTAGTTGGAAAATTAAATAAGTCCAATTTTGGCGATATTGACTTTTCCCTATTTTCAAAACACCTAAAACATGCCGCATATTTGAGCCTTACAGGCGTTTTCGTATCTTATTCCATTCCAAAAATATAGCCATTTTTGTCGGACAGATGGAATAATAAATATCTTCAGACAAACACTATTTTTTAAAGGAAAAATAAATAACCCAGTAAATAAATCAATAACTGTGGTCAATGATAAGTTAAATGTCAAATAAATTAAATAACATGAGTTGTTGAATTTTGCCTCAACTTCAAAATTCTTTCACAAAACTAACTAAGTTCTAGGAAAACTAAATAACTCTATTTATTTAATTCTGCTATTCAGAATTCTGATATAACGTACTTAATTTATAAATACTTGATGTTATCTATTTCTTCTACAACTAGATAATGATTAATTATAAGATACTAGGCAAATAAAATTAAATTAAGTTGTTTATAATTGCCATAAAACAAAATGCACCTGAGGAAAGTCATCATTAAATTTTAAAGAGAATTTGGCGCAAAATATTCTGATCGGGAACGACGACGGAGAGCGCGGGGGTGAGCGGGTGCGGTTTGATGCATCGCTCACGTGTCGTGCGTTTTAGTCTAATACGTGACCTTCAATTGCGTTGACGTCAGAGTGACCAATAATGGATTCGCGAGGTAGATTTATGGTGAAAATGTGTCAAAAGGAAGAAGATTCATCTGAGGTATGTACCTACGATAATTTAGAACAATTTTTTTGCAAATTAAATTAAGAAATTAGAAATAATACGATTAAGTACGTCTTTCTTAACCGTAAGAACGTTTGAACAACATTAATTAATAATTATGTCATAACTATGTACTGATATTTATTTTATTTATTTTTTCCTCCCTTATGCGAGTTTGAATATCAATCATTTTGTGTAGTGGGAGAAGTTGATAACTCTTCTGCTTTCATTGGAATTTTGACTCTTAAGTTGAAGAATTAAGGTTACTTTTAGCTTGTCACAAATTGTATTTGTTGGGTATTTTTCGTTAAATATTCTTTTAAGAGTGAAACTACGTAGGGTACCTACGTTTAAATCTGACAAGTCTGACAGTAATGGGCGGCAGGACTCATTTGACGATTTTAACACCCCATAAAAAAGAAGGTACCTATAGCAAAAAAATAATTTTTTGTTAACAAATAGATTTTTTTGTTTTGTTTACTAGGCGGTTTTGTTTACTAGGTGCTCAGATAGTTCTTAGGAGTGGTCTCGTTTTAAGTACCTAACTCTTGTTGTATGGCTGACATTATTACCTAAGTGACCTATCCAACCTAGATACCTAATGTATCTAACCGTATCAAAGTTGGCGAATTCCGAGGCTTATTAAGCTTGATGACCAAACGTGTGCCTTGACTTGACTTGACAAATTTGACTGCATAAACTCTTGTCACATGATTATTATTTTACTTGTTTCCTCATTAAATACCTACTATATTATTGCTTCTTATTGTTTTAGGACAAAAATAAGACAATCAAACAACAGGACCGAAGTATCATTATTGTCAGCCCACAAAAACATAATGTTATAACATGCCAGAAATTACCATCCGAAATGAACAAAAATGTTTGCAACGACATAAATTTTGCTGTTGATATTACGATAGAAAAAATGCCCGATGGGCTGTTGGTTACTGATGTTCCTAAGCTTCCTGAGCATGACGGATTTAAGATAATTACATGCGAATTGGCTCCAGCATCAATAATGGCTAGCGAAATGATTACTAATAACATTAACCCACCCCAATCAGCACCTATGCCTGTAAATGTCAGTCCCATGTCTTTGTGTAGCAGTAATATTAATTTAAATAAAGATGACAACATAATATTATACAACTATAAAGATGTCAGTTCGCCTATCAGAGCGTCAAGTCCAATTTCGGGTATCGAACCAATGCCACCTTCGACAGATGAAGAACCTTTTTCTGATTCTGGATCTTCATGGATTCCGGACACAGAAGAAGAAAATAAAATAAAAAGGAAAAGTAGTTCTTTAATAAACATCAATATTTCAGTGGCTAAGAAGAAAAAAAGAGTTAAGAGATTTGAACGAATAAACCCCATTTTGTCGAGTGACTCTGAAGATGAAACAGGTAATATTACAACAACTCGCGCTATTATTGAAACTCCTATTGACCAAGTTTCACCAGTTAACCGTGATAGAAGGATCATGGAACACAATATCACAATCGCTGAGACAACAGATTCAGAAAAAGTAACAGGAAATAAGGAAAAAGAAATCTACAGATGGAAAAATACTAATCAAACAAACTGGAAAAGAAATAAAGAGTTGGAGAAGAAACGAAAATGTTTGCCATATAAGAGTAAAACTGGAAAGTTTCTTGCAGCTAAACTACCTAAAAGTCCTAAATGCAGCCAAAATTGTCGTCAGAAATGCACAGAAAAGTTTACACAAAACGAGCGTGAGAAACTTTGCAAATCCTATTGGTCTATACAAGATTTTAAGCTGCAAAAAGAGTTTTTGCTTAAGCGCATCATCATTAAGCCAGTGCAGACTATAAGAAAATCTGTACCGATCGAAAAACAAAGAAGTTCTAGCAGAGAATACGGTTTCTATAAAAATAAGACTGTATTTGAACGAGTATGCAAGAAATATTTTATGTCCACTCTTTGCGTTTCTAGTGGTCCAATCGAAACTGCAGTAAAACATGTGGATGATCATGGTGTATTTACAAAAATGGATAATCGTGGCAGACAAGCGCCTGCAAACAAAACTCCTAGAGAACAGATACAAGAGGTAAAAAATCACATTGAAAGTTTTCCTGTAATTGATTCCCATTACTGTAGAAAAAAAACAACCAGGAAATACTTAGAACCTACCTTGTCAATATCAAAAATGTATGATTTGTATGTGCAGAAAATGAAAGAAAGCAATAAAGTGCCAGCAAAACTAAACATTTATAAGAAAGTGTTTGGTACAGAATACAATTTAGCGTTCTATCACCCCAAGAAGGATCAATGTAGCATTTGTAACAATTACAAAAAAGATAAAACTAATATAAATATTCAAAATGAGTATACTCAACATATAGAGCGAAAAGAGGCATCTTATAGATCTAAAGAGCTGGATAAAAAGAAGTCGGGAGAAGATAAATCATATTTGTGTGTCACCATGGACTTGCAAAGTCTACTGCAGATTCCATCGACTGCAGATAGTCAAATGTATTATTCCAGAAAATTAAATTTATATAATTTATCTATTTATGAGTTTAAACCTCCACAGAACGACGCTCACTGTATGATCTGGACGGAAATAAACAGCAAAGGAGGCAGTGTTGAAATAGCATCTGCTATACATTTATGGATTAAGAATCTCCCAGAGGTTTTAACGCACGTCACCATTTATTCCGACACGTGCTCGGGACAAAACCGAAATCAGTACATAGCAGCATTTTTATTGTACTTAGTACATACGCATGAGACAATCAAAGTATTAGAACAGAAGTATCTAGAAAGTGGTCATAGTTTTATGGAAGTAGATTCAATGCATAGTGCCATAGAAAAAGAAAAAATGTACACAGACACGTATTCTATAATAGATTGGAAAGAAATTATGCTACGGGCAAGATCAAAAAGACAAAATAAAAATGTAACTCCATATAATGTAACTGAATTATCATATCAAGACATGATTGATGTAAAAGCACTTGCTTCGAAAATAATTAAAAACAAAACTATAGCGGAGAATGGGGAGAAAGTGTGCTGGTTGAAAATAAAATGTCTTAGATTTGAAAAAGAATTACCTGGTTTTATTAAATACAGATACGATTACGATGGGCCATATAACTTACTAAATACTCTTTGTAAACCAGGGAGATCGACTAGGAGAACTCCAAACTCTGAAATGCCAACTATAAATACTGAAGATCTTCCCCGGGCATATAAACAATGTCTTCCTATAACAAAACAAAAAAAGAAAGACCTTTTACAGCTCTGTAAGAAAAATATAATTCCTAAAGAGCTTCACGGCTGGTACGAAAGTTTACCATGTTCATACGAAGACCAGGGTCCATCACGCTCCACTGATTCATCTGAAGTCGATGAGTAAGCTTATTTTGGCCCCTTGCTCTACATATTGCTGAAAACTAAACTAAACTTTTAAACCCTAACAGCATGAGTAAAATGATTTTACAATAGGGTTTTTACATTGTTAAATTAACGTAATGTTTATTTTTAGAGTCATGTTTTTAAATACATTTGTTATTTAATTTTAAATTATACTTTTTTTTGTGATGTGTTTGCTCTTGACTCTAGTCTTGGTCAGAGATGACAGAGACAAAGTCTACGATGGAGCGAGCTTACCCAGAAGGAGCCTGTTCACTCGTAACTTTGAAGGGATTTACGCTGTGTTTGATTAGGTACAGCCATTTCAATTGTTTTGAATTTAAATTATGTTTTATTTTGTTATGAAAGTATTTTTAGTTCTAAGTAAATTGATATTAGAATAAGTTGTTGATTGGTGTACTCAATGTACCTGATTAGTGTCATATTATTTTTTGAATTTTGAGTTTTATTTAAGTGTTGTGTTTTACTTACCTTATTACGAAATATTTTTTTAGTTGAATTGAGTCGTTTGAAAGTTTTATAATGATTGCTGTACCACAGTTTTGGTGTTCATTTTTTAGTTGAATACTGACCTATGGCTTAGGTGCTAACAATTTTAATTTTTTGAGTTTTAATACAGAATAGTATTATAGTACTATTTTAATTATGTTTTGATTTGATACAAACTTATGTTTTTTAGTTCTAATTGATACCTATTTTAAGTTTTTCATAGTTTTTTTACTTACTACTTAAGTACGTCTTTTATAATTAGGTCTGATTTTAGAGCCATAATGTTATTTTATGGGTTCAAATTATTTTCTGTTTTGATTTGAAAGAATACTTTAAGTTAATTTGTTTCCACTTGTTATAATTGGTGTAATTTTGTTTATATTTTTAAGTTTGTGGTAAGATAAGTATCTGATTACAATACACTTTTTCTAAATTTTATTGTACTTTTCTATTTCTTCCTGAATATAACTTTATTAATATCATAAAACAACTTGTATTTTATATGAGACCAATAATAGTTAAAAAAATATCGAAGTAATAATAACGTACAAAGCCACTAAATTTTACATTTCAAAATATTTCGAGTTTGATAAATTCAATAAATGCATATATTTCACCAAATTTTACTCTACCAAATGTATTTAGTTTGTAGGAAAACTAAATAAATAGCCGAAATAAGTAGATATTTGTAGTACGTTATAAATAACAGTTGTGGCAAAATTAAACAACTTGATTTTTTTTGTGTTATTTAGTTATAGTTAAAGATTGAGTTCAGTTTGTTAAAGCATAATGTAAAAGGTAATCAGGTCCACAAAATATCAAATTACCGACAGTAAAATTGTCTCACATTTTTTAACAAATGTACATTAACTGAAAAAAAAAAACACTAAATCGCGTTTATCTCAGAACTACAAAATCAGAGTTATTTAGTTTTCCAACTACGGGGACGATATTGTAAATAAGAATATAATATGTAATAAATATTTATGTATATTTATAAGAGCTTTTATGAAAATTCGAATGTAATTATGTTATATTAACATTTTCTTATTATAATTCTCTAAATTTATTTGGGAGAAGGGGAAAATATATTGTTTTTTTTTTATAAAGTAAAAGGGACAAACGAAAACACAATCAACCTGTTGGTAAGTGCCATATTTTCTCGATTAAGAATAAAAATAGTACTGAAGACTAAAATGGAATGTCTCGTTATCATTCAAGTGTCACCGGTTCTCTAAATTGTATGGTCAATGAAATATAGCAGCATTAAGTTGATATTTTAAGATGGAATTATGTGAGATATCTTTGTGTTTGTGTGTTCCTTTCACGGTTTAACCGACCATTCGTGCTGCAGCGAAAATAATGCTTCGGCGCGGCTCTTTCACGCAAAAAAAAGCAGCTGCTGTGTTTTGTATGGTGTGTATAGAGAACCAGAGACCATTTTTACTGGAAACGAGGCATTTCATCTAAGTCGCCAGGGTTGACAACGCATCTCATTTTGATTTTTATACGTGAATAAATGTGTATATGGGCCATAACATCCACTTACCATGTGAAGGGCTGTATGATTGTTTTCCACCGTTCTATAAAAAAGTAATCCGACCACTAAGTCGGGTGATCATCATAAATTTGACAAGGAGATTTTATAACATAAATGGATATTTGCCTTTGAATCTTATTGAATTATAATGATTTTGCATTATAGTCCTACGAGTGTCTCGTGTGTCTTTTAAAAAATATATTTGAATGAAAATATATTAAAATATTCAACGAAAATAATTAAGGAAGGGTTCACATAATGATTTCTTATATTTACGCGAACACTACACATTTAAATAAAACTAATTTTACGGATTTTTTCGCGTATATTAACTTATTTTACTTTCCCGACGTTTCAAGCACTTTACAGCAGTATCATGAAGTCTTGCAGTTGTATGCTTGCCAAGCATACAACTGCAAGACTTCATGATACTGTAAGTTCATACTGCGTAGATCGGAACAAAAATTAATAATTTTTAATCTGGAGGTAGCCGTGGTTAACTATGACATTGGGACGTCATACACCTCAGTCCCCCCCCGTGACCATGGGTGCTGTAAAGTGCTTGAAACGTCGGGAAAGTAAAATAAGTTAATATACGCGAAAAAATCCGTAAAATTAGTTTTATTTAAATAAGGAAGGGTTTCTTTTCAGTCACACGATGGATTACACAATGGAGGACAATTTATGGTGCCGGATTGATGCAACGTGACAAAAAATATTCTCATCCAATTTATGGACTCAGCACATGTGTTGGAAGGATTGCTTGTTAGGAGCAAATTGGGAGCCAGTGCTTTAATAATAGCTTCAATTTTGAATAAAGCCATCGTTTGTTAAGACCAGTCACATCAATAAGACCAAAGTGTAAAATATTTTTACGGAATTACTTCAATTTTATCCATACATTACAGTCTATTAAAGTTCACAGCTGAACATGGACCTCCCATCTATTGGCATCTATCCTCGTAAGTTGACATAATTGCTACGCTTGGTAGGCGGGATGGCTACCGCAGTTTTTTTTTTATTATTTTGAAGATTTTTAAAGAAGCTGCTCCATTGAGTCCATCGTTGTTTTAGTTTCCCACTTTTTTAACGGCTTGGATAATTTTGAATGCACTGCAATGAATGCGTCGTTCTACAAATTGTAAAAAATATGTCGTACAAGGAGCTTTGTTAATTTATGGTCGAACTTCACTTAAGGTAAGTAGTTTTACCATTTAAATTATTTGAATATTTTCGAAGATTGATTTTGAGAAGATGATTTTTAGTTTTCAACCAAGCAGAGAGAGAGGGGATCTCCAGATCCTATCTCAGCTGCTATCAACCTTCGATACCTCTTCCGTGCTGCCACACTAAGCTTATAAGGCCTAGTTAACTTTTTCTCTTCCCCTCCCTGATTTGTTTCTGAATGTAGTTCGGCGGCAGACGTGTCCTCTACTTCTCGGCTCGTCCCAGATTGGGGCGTAGAGCTTCAGGATGTTGAAGAGGCTAAAAGAGCCTTTTCCAGACCTACAGTCAGTTTCGGAGCAGTCTTGTTCCAATGAATCCTCAAGCACCCATTTTATATGGGTTACCAAAAATACATAAAGAACATGCTCCTATTCGTCCAGTTGTCTCATATATTGGTGCACCAGCTTATTTCCTTGCTAAAAAATTAAACTTCCTCCTTCGACAGAAATCTGGATTCAACCCCACTTACAGCCTAAAAAATGGCTTAGATCTCATTTACAAAATAAAAGATATTCGTATTCCTCCTAAATCCATATTGTTATCTTTAGACGTTGATAGTCTTTTCACAAACGTCCCATCCCCGGACTGTTTGCATATACTCGCAGATCTCTTTCATAAACGTCGTCTACATCCCGGGGAAACAAATGATCTTCTTAACTTAACCTCTCTCTGTATGAAACAAAACTATTTCCGGTTTGATAACCGTTTCTATCTACAAAAAGAAGGGTTAGCTATTGGGTCCCCTCTAAGTCCCCTTATGGTGGACATTTTCATAGATAATTTCGAAAAACAACATATAGTTGTCATACAAAATATCTTATATTACTATCGATATGTAGACGACATAATTATTTGCTGGACTGGCACAAGGAGACAACTGGATGTTTTCCTCAATAAAATAAATAGAGTCCATGACAAATTTAAATTTAAACTTGAATTGGAACAAGATTGTTCCCTTAATTTTCTCGACTTAACAATAACAAGAAAAGAATCGTCACATGTTTTCCAAATTTATCGAAAACCAACTCACACCGACACGGTCATCCCCGCGTTATCGTATCATCCGTGGCAACATAAAGTAGCCGCTTTTTATTGTTACATTAACCGTTTGTTCACTGTCCCATTAAGTAAAGAAAATTATTTAAAAGAACTTAATATAATTTATCAAATAGCGGTCTCTAACGGTTATTCGAAAAATCTCATTAAAAATTAATTAAAAAGAAACAAAAGCATGTTGTTCGCAACTCTCTGTACGCGGTTCAACCTCAAAGTGTTCATCGATATGTGAGCAGTTTGACCTACTTAGGCCCCATATCTGAAAAAGTAGCTAATACTCTTCGACAAAATAGCGTTTATGTGGCGTTCAAAACAAACAATTCTCTTAGAAATATCTGTAATAATAAAGATAAGTTGGATATTGGTCAAAAGTCAGGTGTTTACAAACTTGTTTGTGACGAATGCCACGCCGCTTACGTGGGTCAGACTGGTCGCAATTTTGAGACACGTTATAAAGAGCATTTATCCGCGTACAGGAATTGCAATCCTGAAAAATCCTATTTTGCCAAACATCTTTTGGACACTGGACACAACCTAGCCAACGACCACTCCTTTAAAGTCTTACATACGTGTAATAAAGGGCTGCGGCTGTGTGTGTTGGAACAGTTAGAGATATTAAAAAGTAATAATAGTACCGTTGCACTGCTGAATGAACAAACAAATGTTACTAACTCACCTCTCTTAAATATCTTTAAGCCTGCTCTCTAATAATAGAGAGCCTCGCAATATGGTCGTTTGTCACCCTCACGGTAATCAGCGTTTGGTTGCGTGGTTGGAGGGTAGGCGGGCGTTGCGCGGCGGTTTGTTTTTAATTTTACAAACGGCTGCGTAAGTCCAGCGGTGATTGGTCGCATGTTTTATCGTGTTTTATGCATGACGCAGTCGCTCGCTCCTTAAGTATAGAGCGGTTGCGTCATCGGTCTGTATAAAAGGCAGTTGTTTTGGCTGTTCTTTACAAAGAAGCTCATCTGGGTGTGCATTAAAATCTCCTAAAACAAATACAGATTCAATGTTGTTGTTTTGCACTTTAGCAGCTATTTCGCCTAAACATTCTACATACGACACAAAATTTTCAGATGAATTAGTAGGCATTTAAACTGAGAAAGCTAGCATTGAACGACTCATAACACAAAGCTTAATTACAATTATACGGTCACTCGTGCACGGTATTACAGACACATTCAAATTTCTAGCTATTCCATAAAAGAGCCACCCTACCATATGGTCCCCCTCGCAGTAGTGCCGCTGACGTATCAACCGCTGACTTGCCAAAGTAATTGTAAGCTTTATTTACATTGCTCAGTTCCTGAATTTCATGGGGCAATAGCCATGTTTCCTGCAGCGCAATAATATCAGCTCTTTGACTCATTGATCTGACACAGCCCATTGACCTTTGAAGAGATTTACAATTGAAAGGAATAAAAGTTGTACCATCCATACTAATTATGATTTAGTTTAACCACTGGTTAATCCAGTCCCTCTGTTTACTTGCCTTCTGTGAAAGTCATCAAAGCGGCGGAAGGAAATCCCGTCTGGCCACAAGTCACAGTTTAGGAATAAGTTCAATTATGCTTAGGAACGAAAGCCTAGTATGAACTGTAGTCCCTTTGCTACTTAGTTTTTATTTCTTTTAACCTCACTTGAATGTTAATTTTATTCTTTATGCAACTAATGATGTTAAATTTATCCAGCAAATTGGTATCGCCTCGCTTATTCTTAACAAAGTTTGTACATACAAAATTGTTCATGTAGCGCCATTGATCACATTATGTACTTCTTTTTTTAACTGAAAAACTTTTCCATATTTACATGATTATCCTAAAAACTCACAACTTCATTTCGAGTTGTTATTTAGTACTTATTTTAACAAGCTAGTAACATTGATATGATCAAATGTCACTGGGGGATGTTTCTGCAGATCACGAACAACAAAAATTGACATGTTCTTTGGATCAACTTCTTTTATTGTAGTAATTATATCTTCTAACTCACGTAAAGTTTTGCCTTCCCGTTTGCCAGTAACAACTTTCTTCTTTGTTTTAAGGGAATTGTAAAGAAGATTCTTCGCTGTAAGTGAAGCTGTCTTTCGCCTCTGGGTTGAACGCCGAAGAACACAGTCGAATTATTCCTTCCCGGTCCATCACATCACATTTGTTTTGCATAAGTGACTAACATTTTGTTAATTACAATATTGCAACTAGCGCACTTCAACACGGCGGAGGTTATTGACCTCACCGGACTGGACATTTCTAACGCGTATTCACATAACGACGCACAAGCGATGACAGACTTCACTCACTGATAAAAGGTGGCTTTTCGACATTTTGGTAAAATAGACCTTATAAACAATATAACAATGTTTAAAAATAGCTTTAGATACTGCTTTTGTTAGTATTTTTCTTACTTATTTAGTTTTTGTGATAATATGGTTATAAAATTAAAAAAGTAAGTACATTAATTTAAACCTTATTTTAATTTCAATACTAAGTTAAATAACGTAAGATGTCTTCACTAGTCTTAAATAACGTATTTACTTATTTTGGATGTAAACGTATAGTATTATTGAACTTTAATTGATTTGTGTTTTAGTTTATACAATTACATTGATGAATACAGTCTTAATTGTACGAGTCTAAAAGAGAGTATATCCAAACATACGTTAATTAAGTTAAGAATATAAATATAAATATTTTACTGAATGCTATTTCAAGATTGCCACTAAATGGTAGCGGCAAAGTTTTATGGAGGTACAAACGAACACCAACATACGTCTTGTCGAAATATTGTATAGAAATCATACTTTTCAGTTAATGGAGAAATATAAACTAATTTTCAATGTGATGAAATAATAACATAATCTCAATTCAAATTTATTTAGAAACTTACTTTATGAACTACCAAAATCTGAAGATACCTTAACCCTTCTGACAGTGATTTTTTTTGTAGGATAGGGTGACAAACGAGCACACAGTCCACCTGATGGTAAGTGGCCGCTGTGACCCATAGACATCTACATCTATCCTCAATAAAGAATAAAATGCAGATGCGTTGTCACCCGTGATGACTAATATGGAATGCCTCCTTTCCAGTAAACAGGGTCTCCGGTTCTCTACACTCACCATACGAAACACAGCAGTGTTAAGCTGCTATTTTACGTTGGTATTCTGTGAGAGCGTGGTACTTCCCAGGTCGAGCCGACCCATTCGTGCTACAACTATACTACTAATATAGCTGCGGCATGGCTCTACCACGTAAAGAAACATCAAGATTAATGAGCCAGATAAAATATATTTAATTACTCATTTGGTATACCATTTTTTCTACATTGCAATTAATAATGTAACATAAACTATACTAAATTATATTAAAAGTAAGTTTTGTGTGTGTGTATGTGATAACTTTAAATTTATAGACTTATTTTGTATTTATAGTCTAGCTTTTTACCCGAGGCTTCGCTCGCGTGAGTTTGAATTTAGGAACATCATTAAATGCTGTTTAAAATTCGAATACTTTTAGAGTCACCTTGGTGTCTGTGGCTCTATGTCCGTCAAAGATTTTTTTTAAATTCTTAAAGACTATTAGACATAGGTGATAGATATTTGGCATAGATTTAATATGTTACAGGAGCACGTGAATATATATGTCTAGAAACACCTACTATTTTTATATCGGACGTGTCTTCCGACGTATCAATAAGAATGATGAATTTCAAGGTCTTCTATCAATTTACGGTATAATGTTTATTTTAGATATTTTATGCATATCACACGTCCTATTTAATATTGATTGGCACCATAAAATAGATGTAGATAAATTTAAGTTGAAATACAGATATGTCTGCCGTATAAATTACAGGAAATATCTGTACTACAAATTAATGTGTATACCGTAAAAGGTTTACGCATTATGCATATTACAACTCTTGTACTATTGCCTGCTTTCTTAACTGCGGTTTTTCTTCATTTTCTTTAACAGTGGTTTACTGAATAGGCTTCTATTATGGTTTGCTTTGATATCATCAACACTCTTATAGCCTATCAAAAGTTCACTGCTAAACAAAAGCTTTCCCATAGATTGCTACATAGAGGGGATATTTGCCATAGCTACGACGCTTGGCAATCGTAGTATATTTTAGTTTTTATAAGAAAGACGCTGAATGTCCATCTCTTGGTTCGTTTCCCTATGCCGCCTCTTACGACACCCACAAGACGATATGGGATATTCTTGCACCGTCACTACACTGTAAATATATTATAAAAACTGAAGTTAAATGGTGGATTCTTTCAATAGAGTATATATGAATTAACAAACAATGAATTCAAACGCTTCGAAGAGTGTACACAAAACACAATTGAAGTCGGGGCCCATTCTAACAATGGCAATTTCTGATGATAATAATCATTATTTTCAGAAAAATAGTGCACAACTATATAAATATCTACTTTTGGCAGATTATCTAACTTCTCTTATAACGTCTTTTTTCAAAGCCCGCTTCCATTTTCTTTTTTTTACAGAACGACACACCGTGACAATACATATAAATACAAATACTCGTATAATCATATAAAATTTTAACAGTGATAGAGCCACGCGGCAGCTTTTGCTGTCGCACGGATGGGCCGGCTCGAACCGGGGTGGTACCACGACCTCACAGAAAACCAGCGTGAAGTAGAGATTTACCTCTGCGTTTCGCTTGGTGAGTGCAGGTGAACGGAGGCCCTTTTTACTAGAAATGAGGCATTCCATCTTAGTCCTCACGGGTGACAACGCATCTACATTTTGATTTGTAATAGAGGATAGATGTAGATGTCTATGGGCCGCAGCAACCACTTACCATCAGGTGGACTGTGTGCTCGTTTGTCACCCTTATTCTATAAAAAAGAAAAAAAGAGCTAAATTTTCAATACATTAGTTTATTATATGTAGGTAAACGACCATATACCTCAGAGCACGCCGTTAGTACTGAACTTAAGGAAGTAACTACTGCGCGCTCGCTCTGTCGAATTGTAACGTCACGTCACCGTAAACGAGTGGGTAAAAATTTTTAAAAATTAAGGAAACTTCATAACATTATAACTTAACTTAGAAAGTAGTTTAAACTAGAAATAAGATTTCTACACCAATTTGGATGCAACAAGAACTATTGTTATTTTCATAAACATAGCTGTAACGGTATATAGGCTATATAGGTTTTATTGTCAAATTATCACATGTTGGTGACCCATTATAACTTCATATGACCATATCATGAAATAAAAAAGTTGTGTTTAGTTATAAATATCTCCAAACGATTTCTATTCATTGACTTGGCCAAGCTATAATTTTACATGGTCAACAAACAGTGATACATATCATGAAATGACCATTTGATGATATATGGCGTTGTTTTGATAACTAAACCGATAAAAAAAACACGTCATTATTAGTAAAGGAAAACATTATTAATATTTCGAAATACTTCAACAAAGAACACAATGATGATAAGTTTCACACAGATCAACTATCAATAAAATGTCCACGGACACCAGTATTCATTTCCGAAAATCTAACGCCAAAAAGTAAACATCTCTTTTACCTAGCTAGAAAACATGCTGCCCTATACAACTATAAGTTTTGTTGGACGTCCTTTGGTAAGGTGTTTTTAAGAAAAGAAATTTACCATCTTTTATGCATTTTTCAAAATGCATAAAATTTGTCCTTGAGTATTTTGATACTATTATATTTTCTTATAAATTTAATCCAAATAATATTACAGGTATTGATTATAATATTAATCCGCACTGTATATATGTAGATAACACAACATGTTGTTCAGAAATGATGAGTAGGCCTCGCATAAATCGTAATCTGGATAAATTGCTTATTTTTGTCTCTGGTCTGGACTATACCATCGATATCCTGGTGCTAACAGAATGCTGGACTAAAGACTATAAAATCCGCCCAATATATATGGATATTAAGTATATTTTACTAAAAAGAGTTATAACCAGAACGACGGTGTGGTGGTTTACATTCGAAACACCGTAGAATGCACGGTCAATGACTAATATATATCAGAAGGTAATTGTTTAACAGTAACATTGCAGCATGACACTGTAATCATTTGCACGTATAGACCACCTTGTTTTTCTAAACCTATAAACTACATTGACTCATTAGGTAATTTACTCCAGAATTCACACGCACGCAATATCATCTTGGCTGGAGATGTGAACATTGATATTCTTCCCAATCAAATATCTAGTCAAGCTTGCACGTACCTAACACAACTGGCATATTATGGTCTCATTCCGGGCTTCGATAAACCAACTAGATAGTCTCTGTGCGATAGTTTTTATTTAAAATATTTAACAAGTCAATATTTTTTATTATTGATATTAAATAATGGCTTTTCAAAAATACATAGTGACATATTAAGCCGTGTATGTGATGGCGACGAAAGGGGATCTATACCTTTTTTCACAACGTTGACGAGCGAGAACTTTGTTTTTTACTATTATTATACTTTACTATCATAAAATGCAAATGCTAATGCTGCTGTACGCTGGTCTTCTGTAAAAGCATGGTCCTTTTCAGGCCGAGCCGACTCATTCGTACTACGCGCTACAATCAAAATGTAGCTGCAAAATGGCTCTACCTCCGTATAAAATGTAACAAATCCTTCTTACAAGATGAGAGGCTCATGTCCAGTTGCCTGACAGTTGACTGCTGACTGTTATGGGCTGATGAAGAACAAAATATCAGCACGAAAGATTTACCAAGGGTTGGCGATCACACAGCCGATACTGTAAATAGTACTATTGCAATGTTATTTAAAAATAAAGGCGTTTCCAAACTAGGCTTTAATTATAATTGCAAAATAAAAATACTTTGAAGTTTGTAAATAATTTAATTGATGTTCAATATTAATTTAAATGTACAAAAAGTAAGCCAAAACAGTCCATGACTCTATTACGGTAAAACTACTTTTGACTAACGAAAACACTTTATTTTATTTAAAGTGTTAAGACTATTTTTAAAAAAAAATTCTTACAAATGATAATAATGTAGATCTGTAATATCCCAAAACGGAGGTTCAATGGGAGCATGATCACCGGCGAATTGCTGCTCATGTATTATTGATTAAATAATTGTTTTAGTGACTGCCTTAGTGCTTACTGCTATTGGTCTAGTGGTTGTAATCGCGGTTACTGATTATTCGGTTCAAATCCCGAATCGGGCAAAAATCAGTTATTTGGTTTTCTGTCACACAGTAGCAGCCCAGAGTCAAAAAGTTGACGGTGTTTTGGTTTTTCTGTCAAAAAATACTCAGTAACAGAACAGAGTCAAGAGGTTGGCGGTGTTTTCACCCCCGTGCCTCAGAAAGCAATTAAAGCCATAGGTCCTACTCCTGATCTCGCTCCAAATCTCAGATTACCAACTTATCGACTATGAGATTGATGGAATAGAAAGTGCACCTGTGCTTGTGCATGCACTTGCGCTCAATAATCCTGTCCTGAACTGATAGCTAGTATCCTTTGAGACTGACCGTCATGACTGAAATTTGGTCTAGAGGCCGTTAACTGTTATAGGATTCTGATATGTATAGTGATGAGATTTTGAGTACTTAATATCTGCGCATATGATCTATTAGTGTGACAATAAAACAGTGCTGCGATGATGATGTAAAACCTCAAATTGCTTTGTCTACTTAGCTACCTTGAGATACAAATGTCATTAACACTTTCCTGGCTCAAGCTGCCTACATAATGTCCTCAAAATTTCGCTATGTGACACGTCAACATGAAAAATTATGCAGAATATTTTTTTTATAAATAAATGATAATTTCTTAATACTTTACACTGTCAAAAGCACAAACGTACAAGCATTTTACCAAAAAAAATATCCCAAAACTTCCTTTTAATGCTTGTCGTACATTAAGCATGTGATATCTCGTGTGTAGGTTTGAAATAAATCATAAAATTTATAGAAGAAGTCAGCAGACGGTGTTGCATTTTTGGGCAAAGCATTAACTTTTTTAAGGAACGTTTCATAACGAGCTTTTTCTTCTTGCTTGTACAGTTGTAGTATATCCAACTCTTCATATAGTTTGCGAATGCTATCTATTTTCTTCGGATCCCAGCTGCCGTAATTCTCTTCGAAAATGCGCCTTTGTTCTGTATTACATTTCTCTAAAACAGCAACGGCTACCCAAGAACATTTTCTTTCCTGTATATCTGTGCCATTCTTGCCAGTCACTGATCCGTCTATATTAAAAACATCTATTAAATCATTCTGAAATCAAAAAAAAAAAATCAAATAGGAATTAGATTTCTTTATTAATTTACTATTACTGATAGGATTTTTATTTTTAAAATACCAAAGAATAATCAGAAGGGATATGTATAGGCGTAAAATTTTGGTTTATCTAAAAATATATTTAAAATCTAAATATAATTTTCGTTTTCTATAATTTGTAAACAAGCAATGGCGACATGTTGATGGCCTTTCTTAGCTTAGCTTAAAATCCTTACTAAAGTCCAAGCTACATTAATGTTGTTTAATGCAACGGTGTTCTTGCTGCGTTTTACTATATTTCTCTTTGATTAGCTGATGATGATTTCATTGATTGACATGATTTTAGTAATTTCTCTATAACTGTGAAAATTTATGTTTACGAATAAATAACAACATAGCGGTCAATATATTTTAGTTCCTTGTATTCAAATAATAAAATATTTTAGTTGATTATTTTTGAATAAATAGTGAAAGCCGAATTTAGTTGAAAAGAGGAAAATGGATCAGCTTGTTGAGAATATAAGTGAACAAATTTCAAAATTATTATAATTTTAATCATCAGAAAAAAGTTATTCATAGAATAAAACAAAACATAAAGAAATTAAAAATTACAGTTGTATGAATTAAACAGTTCAAGGTTTCCACTTTTATATTCGTTTCGGTTACAACTTATTTTATGGATATATTATTTTATCGCACGATTAAAAATAAGCTCTTGGTGTTTTCTTAATAAAAACTAATAGCGATTTTTTTATAAGAATAGTTACGGCCTATTCAGTCATTTCTTAATATTTATTGATAATATGTATTTATGTTGTTTTTACGAGGGCGACACTGAAAGTTTTTAGAACTGGCTACTTGTAAACGATTTAATAAAAAAATTAGTTGAAATTTTGAAAATGGAACTCTTTGCCAAATATTATTGTGTGTGTATTTTATTAATTTGTTATTTGTTAACAATTTGGTGGCCAATTGAAAATTATCTGTGTCACGTCAGCATGAATTTAACACGGGAACATATTCGTACAATGATTTTTTATGATTTTCGATATAATTTAAGTCAACATGAATGTTATGATAGACCTTGATTGGCCTTTCACGATAAAGCCCCATCTCGTGCCACTGTTCACAACTGGTTTAATTAGTTTAAACGTGGTCGCATTACTACTCACCGATGATCTGCGTGAGGCCTTCTATGGCGACGACTGATGATAACACAGACACAGAGTGACTTATCAACAGACTTAGACAAGCTTAGTCATCGGTATAAGTCAAGTGCACGAAATCCTCCATGAACATTTAGTGGTCAGGAAGCTTTGTGCCCGTTGGATACCTCATAATTTAACAGAGGCCCAAAAACTCCGTCATCTTGATTGGTGTCGTGAAGTGGTTCAAAAATTTAACAGAGATAACTCAAATGCTGTTTTTGACATACTTACGGGTGACGAAATCTGGATTTATTGTTATGATCCTCAAACTAAGAGACACTCCGCTGTCTGAGTGTTTACTTCGGAGGAGTTGCCAACTTAAATGAAAAGAGGTCGAAGCATGGGAAAAGAGATGGTGCCTCATACTTCGGAAGGACAGGTCATTACGCAACAATTGTCTTAGAGGATCGAAAAACTGTTACTGCAGAGTGGTACACTAATAATTGTTTGCCACTTGTCTTGGAAAAACTTCGGGAGAAACGACCTCGCAGTAGAATACTCCTTCACCACGACAACAACGCCAAGCAAACAATCGACTACTTGGCGCCGTTAGAGGGGGAAATGAACACCCGCCCTATAGCCCAGACCTCACACCTTGCGATTTTTATTTATTTCCGAAAATAAAAGAAAAACGTCGAGGAAAACGTTTTATGGACGCAGAGAAAGCAGTGGCTGCGTTTCAAAATGCCGTCTAAGAGACCCCTAAGGAAGAGTGGGCAAAGTGCTTTGCTCAATGGTTCCTTCGGATGCAGCGATATATTGATCTAAATGGACACAATTTTGAAAAGATATAATAAAACTAATAAGTTGCTAGTTTGTTCAGTTTTTGATTTTCTAAGAACTTTCAGTGTCACCCTCGTATTGTTACTTTGGAAATGAAAAAACTGACCAAGTGCGTGTCCGGCCACGCACAATGTAGAGTTAGGATCCGTAGTTGCCCATCATAATACGTTGGGTTCCTTGATAATGAGCATAATAAGTGAGTTTGCGAATTGACCGCTATAACGACTAAAAATGGGCCCAAATAGGAAGATTGTAACTAAATTGACAATTATTAAATCAGCTTTATAGGATAGTGGTATTCAAAAAATATTAATAAATATTGAAAACAAATTTGATAGATCGTTTTGTTTCTTCTATATAAGAGACCACATTCACAATCAGTCTTTTGTACACTCCTGCATCTTGTAGAGGGATATTTAGAGGCCATACGTCATGACTTTTCGTTTATGTTACGTCGAAGCTCAGCGCCAAAACTAAATCTTCCCAAAGATGAATTTAATGCAATGAAAAACTTACGCAACAGACCAGATCTCACGATTCTCTCGATAAAAGTACTGCTTCGGTTATAATTAATACATCGGATTACAATTTGAAAATACAACAAATTTTATTGGTCAGAAGTATGTACAGAAAGGTCAAAACCCTAAACTAATACGTATAAAACAACTAGCGATCTAATTAAGAAATACTTCGAGAAGTTTAATCTAGACTAACGCCCCACGCAGTTAGCCTGTTAGTTGGCACAACCACCGAAGTTGTATGGGTTACCAAAACTACAAAAACCGAACACTCCATTACGTCCAATAGTGAGTCAGATCGATTCGCAAACTTACAGACTGGCTCAACACTTAGCAAAAATACTATCACTACTAAGAAGACATAGAAATGAGTACACACTAAGGATTCATACCATTTTGTCGGTGAGATAAAATGCCTATGTCTTACTGACAATGAACCTATGGTCAGTTTTGATGTTCGGTCTCTATTTACATGCCTACCCATTGAAGACTGCATCTCAATTGAAACTAGGAAACTAGAGGAAAACAACATGCCATCAGATATGGAGGACTTTGAACAGAAAGGCCTGCCAACTGCACATGTAACTCTAAGGTTCTACAAGCGGTACGTGGACGATACTTTCACAATTTTATCATCAGACAAAGGAACTGCATTTTTAGAACATCTTGATTCCATAAACTTCAAAATTCAATTTACTATGGAGTTAGAAATAATTTTTTAGCTTTCCTAGACGTGTGTCCTAGTCATCCGGAATCCTAATAACACCATAGATCACACTGTGTATAGAAAAAAGACCCATACTAACCGATATTTAAACGGTAAATCACACTATCATCCTTCACAGTTAGCTACCGTGGGGAAATATTTGTTACAGAGAGTAAGAGATATCATATGTGGCAGCAAAAACCTGGCCGCCAAGCTTCAGCACGTCAAGCAGGTTCTGCCCGATGAAAAGCTTCGGGCCCGCGCATACGTCACAGTGACACGTCACAGTGACCGAATGAAGCCGGCCACAGTCGAGCATGTGCCTGCTGTACTACCATATGTCAGAGGTCTCACAGACAACATTAGCTACATCTTGAAACGAGCTTCTATTAGAACATTCTTCAAGTCGCCGAAGAAGATTAGTCAGTTCTTTCCATCCGTCAAGTACAATATCCCTTTACAAGATGCTCATATATAAAGCAAACAAAACGATCTATCAAAACCCGCGTAAAAGAACGCATGCAATGCTAATACGAGTACCGACTGGAGTGTTTCCTATTCTAGATTATACAGATGTTTGCTATGCCGATGCCTCGCAAAAACTTCTAAACAAACTGGATCAATTTCTCAATAATTGTATACGCTTCGTTTTTGCTTTAAGTAAATACGACCACATTTCCTCTTATCGTTCTCAGCTTAAATATCTACCTCTCCGTTTTAGCAGATATTCCATAATACTGTGCACATTATTTTCAGTTTTACATGATCCGTTTGTCCCTGAGTATATGAAATGCAAATTTCAGTATCAGGGTGGTTCCCATAATTGTTGTCTCCGTTCTACGGAAAAATCTAACCTTCATATTCCCCTCTGTCACGATTATGGAACGAGCTACCGGGCGGTGTGCGTGCAGCCACGAGCAAGGTATCGTTCGTTTCCACCGCTTGCTCTGGAATCACTATCTAACGTTGCAGGAGTAGTTTGTGGACATCAATTTCATTCTGATATTCTTAAATTCCAACTTTTCCCTTTTCTTGTTTTTATAGGAGTTTGAATCAGAAACAGCTATAATTTATTATGTATACAAGTAGTATTAAGTATATATATATATATATATATATCTATTTATTAGTCACGTGTATGAAAGAGGAATGTGAAATTATAGGTCTCCGTTTGAATGCTAATAAAACTAAGGTTCTGGTATTTGAAAGGGACGAAGAGAGAACGAAGTGTGAAATATGGGTCTAGAACAATTAAATTGTATTCTTGGGGAGTGCTTTCAGTCGGGATGGAAGATGTGATTTAGATGTGGACAGGCGTGTCGCTGCCGGGAACAAAGTCAAGCCCTGACTGCGTTAGTCAAAAGGCAGGGCGTAGTGAAGAGTGCACGCCTTGCAATACATAACGTAGTGTTGGTACCGACTTTGTTATATGGCAGCAAAACCTGGGTATGCCAGAAGAAGCATAAAAGTAAGTTGAATACAGTGGAGATGCAATCTCTTCGTAAAATGTGCGGCGTTACCATGGCCGACCGAAAGCGAAACGAAGAGATTCGCAATATGGCAGGTTTGAAAGATGACCTTATCACAAAAATTGATAAGGGCGTGCTTCGATGGTTTGGACACGTTGAGCGAATGAGTGAAGACCGAATGGTGAAGAAAATATATAGCGCGAAAGTAAACATTAAAAGGTGTCGAGGTAGACCGAGACTAACTTTTGAAGACCATGTGAGCAAATTACTCGAAGAGGGGATGGTCAAGAGTACTCGGATACCTAGACGTGCATGTATTAAGAAGATAATGAATCTTAAAGAAGCGAAAGAGGTGTGTAAGGATCGTGACACTTGGCGATCTGTTCTCTCTGGCTACCCCGTCAGGGATTGTGCGTGAAGATAAGGCAAGGTAAGGTATATCCATATAATATATTTGTGTAATTATGTTTATAATATATATCCTATATGTATGTAGTAGTAGTTATGGTAATATTATGTAGACATAGGTATTATTTAATTATCTGATTGCACTTTGCACCCTCAATGTATTTTCTGCTCAGCCTGGAGGTAGACTGCCGCGTTTTTGTACTTGGTGTGCAAATAAATTAATAAATTTGTCCACACTTAGCGCACAAAAGATGCGAGTGGGTGAGCGCAAAACCACCAATAATCTCCATACTAAACTACAATAAACTCCACAGATAATAATATATCAAAAGACTGGTGTATTTGAGACAGGTTTTGAAATTTCCGCCATGTATCTTTGCACAAGTTTCGTTCTTTTGCCTTGCTACTTAAATAATATATTCCCTTTTATAACTTGTTGCAATATTACCATTTGTTTTTTTGTGTATAAAAAAATTAAAATAATACTTACATGAATTTGTACTAACACGCCAATATCATCACAAACATTATCCACGTGATTGCAGGATTCTTCACTGAGCTTATTAGCAAGTGCTAATCCTAGTAAAATCGGTGATTTGACAGAGAAAAACGATGATTTCATTACGTTTGTAGCGTTGTATTGTTCTCGTGTAAAGTTATCGTAATTATTTGATCTGGCTGCAATTGTATCCAAGTATTGGCCTATCGCACCAATAAAATATATCTATAAAATAGAACAATTTCATAGAAAAAAGGGAGTAAGTTAGTTAATATGAAGTTTATATAACCTAGAACAAGAATAAAACTAACTACCTACGCACATGTTTTACTGTAAGGTAGTGCAGGGCTTTTGATAACTTTGCCATTTATAATTATCAAAGTGGAGTAAAACTACTTTTATGGATTTTATCACGTTTAGTTTTACTCATTTTTGTTTTTAATTACAATCGATTCGGGTGCTTTGCAACACCCGTGGCCACGGGGACCGAGGTGATTCACGTCTCGATATTAGAGTTAACCCGGAGTACCTTCAGTTTTTTTTTAATTATTAACTTTGTTTCGATCTATCTACGTAGAATGAACTTACCGTGTCTTGAAGTCTTACATTAGTATGGTATGCTTGGGTTTAGTTTTAATTTTGTTCAGTAAGCAATTTGCGATCATATTCTAAACGGCCTTCGCCATTACATCAGATTTGACAATCACGTATCATCCTTGGTAGGAATCGAAAGAGCATCGATTCTTACCAAGGATGATACGTGAGGCTATGGAAATTAAAAAAAAACTTTACAATTTCAATAGAGGAGGCTGGGTACTACCGCCTGCTGAGGATCGTGTAATTAATAAAATTAAAACTAAACCCAAGCATACCAATGCCAGACTTCAAGACACACTAAGTTCATTCTGCGTAGATAAGACTAAAAGTAATAATTAAAATGCTGAAGGTCTCCGGTTATACATGACATCGGGACGTCAATTAGTAATAATTAGTAGTGACTATGGGTGCTGGAAAGCAAGCAAAACGTCGGTGTTAAAAGTATAGTAAGTAGAATTAAACGCGATAGAATCTGTTAATTTTACTTAATGTGTAGTGTTCGCGTAAATATAACAAATCATTAATATTAAAGTTATGATGTCCATCCAACTTTGGTGTCAACTGAGTGACTTATAATTTGAAATTATGTATCAATTTATAATTAACATTACTGGTTCGTCCAAATTTACTCTTAATTGCAATATTTTTAATTTTAATACATATTCTATAAATCTTCTACATCAGTACGTAAAACTTTACTGTTGGCGATGAACCTCTCCTATCGCTAGGAGGATTTGTTTCCATAAGATACGCTTGGCCGGCGGATTGACAATTGCAATGTTAGAGGTCTTTGCATCGGTGACGCTGCTGCCCGTCTACGTATTCTACGTCTGATGCAATGAGGGCTAGTAATTTTCTGCACACCAGATGTCGCTAGCTGACACTGAAGTAAAGTTTTTACTTACACAATGTCATGTAATTGAAATATTGATTTTTAATAAAAGTTTATCAGTTTCTAGAGTATTATATTATATACACAAAACAATGCGTCAGTGGTTTGCTCTTTAATTTTTTGCGCATATTTCACCTTTTTTATTTATTTTTCTACGTTTATGAATATTTTTGTTTTGGTTTATTTATTTTATTTAATCTTATTAATATAAAATATAGCTAATAGTACAGAAAGAAACAATAACCTTTACATTTTCAGAACAATTTAATTTCCCCGCTATGAAATCTGTCAAATATTATACCTCAGTTTCTAGTGGCGCCGCCCTGGTGGCTGAAAAAGTCGTGGATGCCCTCAGTATAACACCATCTATAGGTAGCGATGAAAGTTTATTGACATTTCTTGTAGCCGCCTCTCACGACATACATACGAAGAAATGGAACGGGGGATATTCTAACGCTGCCACCACACGTCGACAGCAAATATGCCATAAGTAAATTAAATAAGTAATAAAAAGTAAATAAGCAAAGAACTCTTATCATACTTACCCCATTATATATGCGCAAAATATTGTCACATAGTTCTGCCGTGAAATTTTGTCTAACTAATTCTTCAATAAAGCTTCTCATTATACAGGCGTCGTTTAACGCTAACGACCCAGTGTCTGGACGTAAATGCCAACATGGCTTTCCGCAACGTATTCTACCGCCATCCTCAAAATCGTCCCAGAAAAAGAAATATGTTTGCACCTGCAATTTTTTTTTTTATATAGTTCACAATAATAGTAAGTGGATACTGTTGCCAACATCTATCCTTGTCACCCCTGAGATGAGATGGATGATGGAATGCCGCGTTACCAGTAAAACGGGCAGTTCCATTCACTCACCATACGAATATTTACTAAAAAATATTATTATAATACAATCATCATCATCATTACAGCCCTTCACAAGTCCACTGCTGAACATAGGCCTCCCCCAAGGAATGCGACGAAACACGGTCCTGAGCCACCTGCATAATACAATACAATACACTACTACATACTTACCTACTACATACTTTATTTCAGGCAACAATGACTTAAAAATTAAGGGCATTGGTCCATAGTAACATATACCTTGACCTAAAAATATATATAAAACAAACATAATCTAACACAATTTAGGGAACTTTCTTCTTACACGCGTCCCTGTATTCGCGAAAACTAAGCGTGGCGAGGCACTCCCAATCACTCATGTACACTCATGTGCACTCGTGTGCTTAATCAAGAGGTGAGGTAGTGATGCAACGACGATAGAGGTCGTCCAAGTTTCACGGTCATCAATCCGCCGATATACGGTATCGCGTGACTACTATTAAGTTTACCGCGTGTCGTATTATATTATATATTATAATATACATATATTATAATTATGTTGCGCAACATAGTGACTCCTTTCCTCAACTCTTCGGTTTTATCGTGGTGATGTCTTTCGACAATCTGGTCACGTCTACGTAATCAAACGTCACGGGAAGCAGTTTGTTGAGATCACGTGTGACTAAAATTTGGATGTCACACGGTCTCATTGAACACCCTAAAGATGTTTTGCAGATCTTTCTTACCGCGTCCATCCCTGTGACATGTGATAAGACGAATTTTGGTCACGACTAAGTCTGCTAACGCATTCTTTGCTTGGTAGCAGTCGGTGAAGCTAGTCATCAGTATCTGCTCCAAAGGCACCTGGTCCATGACGTCCATTTTTTGTTGAATAACGGCCAGGAATTAGTGGACTACGATGGTACCGGAGCATTTAGGTTGAATTTATATATTTATTTGGAATTATTTTTCTGCAGTAGGTATGCTTCTCCACTAAAATATTGCAGGTTCGGCATTAGAGCCGCTACATCGTTATGAAGCGACTACACTGACTGGTAGTAGAATCGCGAATAATGGTCTTTTACAATCTCCTATACTCTGCGAGTAATCTGAGTCAAAAGCATTTGTAAAATGTAGAGTCACAAAGAAAAAGTTTTTAAATATATAATTTATAATTTACTGTCTTAATGTTAAATGTAAGGTTACAGAAAAAGTATTTAGAATATAATAGAATAGAATTTTAGTCAATATAGTACTTTTACCTTTAGTTCGAAGAAAACCTCTGTCCTGGGAAGAACCAGCAAGAAAGCGGGACATTTCTTTTAAATAAAATATATTTACAATAATAAACTAATTATATATGACAACATAATATTATAATTAATAATTAATAGTATCAGGCGTTACTTTGCGGAAATCCATTATATAAAAAAGATTTTAGAAAAAAATTTTTTTACTTCGCAAATATCTGCGTTATAAAATAAAATGATGTCTTACCTAGTATGAAGAGCACCTTCCGCCCTCTCTCAATTGCGTGCACTAATTTTAACAGTGGTAGAGCCACGCGGCAGCTTTTGCTGTCGCACGGATGGGCCGGCTCGAACCGGGGTGGTACCACGACCTCACAGATCACCAGCGTGAAGTAGAGGTTTACCTCTGCGTTTCGCTTGGTGAGTGCAGGCGGCCGGAGGCCCTCTTTACTGGAAATGAGGCATTCCATCTTAGTCCTCACAGGTGACAACGCATCTACATATTGATTTGTAATAGAGGATAGATGTAGATGTCTATGGGCCACAGCAACCACTTACCATCAGGTGGACTGTGTGCTCGTTTGTCACCCTTTTCCTATAAAAAAACATACAATTTACAAGTATTATTTTATTTAAATTTAATTTGATCATTTTTATGTTGATTTTTCTGAAGTAAAATTATATATACGTTTGAATACTGATTTTGATAACTCACTTAAATGGAAGCACAGAGTTATTGTTACGTACTGTATTTTGTCAGCACTAATGAAAAGCCATAACATTAGAAGACTGCCTAACTGACTAGATAACTTCTATATTATAAATATTAGTTATCGATCTAAATTTTACTACTGCAATAAAAAAAAGTTACCCCCGTCACCACTAATCCCAGCACCGCTATTCCCAACATAATATTATGTTGTCTTATACAATTAGTATGAACAAACCAACAATACATAATTCCAAAATACATAGGTCACGAATGGCACTAACATTTAAAAAATATAGTATAATAACAAAATACATAAGCTACTTAGCTTTAGTTTTAGTATTCCGATCCAATAAAATAGGTTACTTATTGGCGGTTATGAAACAACTGACTGATCCCTATTCCTCACAGCCGACTTTTATACACATTGTTAAGTGCGTAGTAACTTAATTGTTATTTATTTATTCTAAAAAGTTAGTACCATCATTCTAAAAACGTACCATTTCAACCGTGCAGGTTATCACTTGCATTTTTTTAAGCAGCTCTTTACTAATCACTTCGGGTTTTTCAAGAGTTTCATATGCAAACGCCATAAATTCTCCTTGTACTGGTTTTCGTCCAATCAAATAATATTCTGTAAACTTTACTTTTTATATCTTTAGACTGACAAACGATGTTAGGGACTTGCAACAAACTTGATGCAAAAAAGGCCCAGAATTCATCAATATGTGATTTTCTGGGACCAACAAAAAAGATAAGCGGAATACTAGAGTTGGTAAATATTATGAAAACGAAAAAAAAATTTTATTTCAAGTACTACTAGGGCGGCTCGTAGCCGCCTGCGCCCCCTTTTCCCAAAAGAGGGTCGCTTACGATTCGGCAGAAAGGCCTCATAAGCCAATGCCAGTCTCACAGGTGGTGTTTAGTGGGTAGGCACTTACGGTGGTTAGGTTAGATTAGTTACAGTGAGTCCCACATAACCACGACAGCCGGCTGTCATGGTATGTATAAAGCATCCTATCGTTTAAGGAGGTAGCCCTTTTCAAATGCTTCTGGGCGCAAAAAAAAAGTACTACTAATACTTTACAGATTGAATTTATTTCGCTTTTAAAACAAATTATTGACTTATTTTAAAGACACATCAAATTTTCTCTCCAAGGATTTTTTGGAAGATTATAGTAAGTTTTAAAAAGTTATAAAATTTAGGTTAGCGCTTTTGGGTGAATTTTATACGCCATCATGCGTTCGTTAGAGCTGAGATTGTAATTTGGAAAAAAAGCAGACATGTTCCCCCTTACACTGAGGGCGGTTTTGTCAATCATCAGAAAAAGTTATCCATCGAATAAATAATACAACTGTATTATTCATACAACTGTATTATTCATACAACTGTAATTTTTAATTTGTATATGTTATATTTTACTCCATTTACAAAATTTAATCCGAGGATTAAAAAAAATTCTCTCTAATAACTGCTTATGATTACATATTTTAGCATAAATATTATACAGATACCTCTTTAATTCTTGATTTCACTGCCGCCGATTTTATAAACGTGGCATTAGCTAATCCCTTATCAATTATCTTTGGTGCGTAATTGTCGAAATCTATGACAACGTCTTTATAAAGAGATGATAACTTCGTTTGAGTAGAACCCCTGGAAATATATAAGTAAATTGCCTTTTAAATATATATTTTTTTTGCTTTTAATTAATAATGATTACAAAAGAAATTAATAGTGAACTGTGCAAGTTAATTTTAATGCTTCAATAAAAATGACACTTGCAATTTTAAGGGATAATTAACTACGTGCCTCAACCTCATTATCACTCTCATTACATCCTTTCACAGCCATCATACAGTACACAGCTGAACATAGGCTTCTCGCAATGAATGCCCTAAAGCAAGATCCTGAGTCTTATTTAACCACAATTACCTACTTTTTTGTCTTAGCAGGTCGTCACTCCATCTAATGGTGTGCCGTTCTACACTTTTAACACATGCATGAAACTCCCACTTAAAAAACGTTCTTCCCAATCGGCTGTCGGTTCTTTAAGTTACATGGCCGGCTTAATGCCACTTCTGTTTACAGATTTGATGCGCTTTGTCGTTTACACTATTTCAATAGTCCGTTTGCGCTAAGACAATAGCGAGTCATCAGTGCAACTTGAAGTAAAAATTCAAACTATTTATATTTTAAAAGATAAAGTTTAATAGATAAAAATTTCAAATTAAATTAAAGTCAATAATAATATAATATTTTAATTAATATCACTAGAATCTGCGTTTTTTTCTCTTTATTGCACATTTATTTAATTCGCCTAATTTATCTAAATTTATAAACTGTATTTTGGATACACCGCATGCACTTGCTGTTGTAAATACTGTACTCTCCACAGTCACATTTTAAACACACAGTTTAAAGTACTTAAAATATTTTAAATTATTCTTCTATCTCTTTCCTTCTCTCTCTCTCTCTCTCTTGTTCCACATTTATTCTTACGTGTAAGTGAGTTTTCTGATAATGCATATTAACTACGAGCTAGTAAAAGCGAGATCTTGGATAAAGCAAGGAAAATTGCATGTTCGAAATTTCTTAAACATTTATAGAGATGGAAGTGTCAGTAGTTTGTGCTCGAGTAATTACCACTCTCTATAGTCTATAGTTGTTTTTGCTTCCAAAAATTATATATTTACTTGTAGAGTTGCCATAGCAAATAATAAAAAAACTAAGTATAGATTGATAAGCCGTGATTATTGTGTCGGTGTGGAAGGTCATGAAAAGCTTAGAGAGGGCTGAAATGAATGCTGAACTCTTTTTACCCATTCCTCTACATGGTTTTGCCAATTTAGTTTCATTTATAAATTAATTAACCAAATCGAGTAGTATCAACATTATTAATGATATTTTCTTCGTAAACTAAATTTTAAATAATGGGTTATGCGATCCTGAATAAAAATGCTTTATGTTCGATTTGTGATAATATTTATCTATCATAGTTTTTCATTTTTAGATTTTTATCCTCGAGATATGAATCGAGGATAAAGATCTAAAAATGAAAAAATATTACTTCAGTAAATATGTATTTATATTTTCAAGAACTTTTCAATTATTATAATTCTCAGAATAAAACTAATCATAAATAAATTTAATCTGATCCAAATTTTATTATATCAAAAAACGACATAACTATGAATAAAACTACTAGTAAGGCCTTTAGTAAAATATTTAGACTGATAGTTAGCTATAAATATAAAAAGTAATCCTTAAATATATTATGTTTTAGATTAAATATTACTTACCATCTAAAGTTATTTCTAAGATAATTAAAAAATATCTTTCGCGAGGTCATATTAAATTAAAAAAAGGGAGAAACACCAAAAATCGAAAGAGCTAGGTAAATACTAAAGCATACAAAACAATGTCTGTTTATATAAATTACCACCTCCATCTTTATAAGTACTATTTTTTTTTAAATTATTTTTTTATCTCTGTGCAACTATGTAATAAAAATTTATTATTGTACCTAGTGGCGTGAAGTCGTGAAGCACATAATGCATTTATTACGTCGATTTTCAAAGTAACATTAATTTATTGAATTTAGTCATAAACTTTATTAGCATGATCCCACGTACTATGTGTACGTATGTATGTATGTTCGTATGTGATAAAATATTATAATTCAGTTTTCATTCACTTCCGGATATATTAATTAAGACTGTAGTCCTTGAGCGTGGGAACTTCTAACAGAACACATACATTGATATTTTCTAGCCACACAGACGCACCTCGCAGTGTTAGTATACGCACCCTGGAGATGAATAAATTACTTTTGGTGTTTTGCCAAAGTTACATATTCATCACGCGTTCGTCTTCGTAGGATGTTCATGAATGTCTCAAAAAACACGCATTGTATGTAGCCATTTGCAATTTCTTTTATGTCATTTGTTTGTCACATTGCGAAGTCCTAGAGCCCGTAATTAATAGCTGACGGCTAAGGGTGGGGGGCTAGAGTGTACGCTTTCTAGGTATTATTTTAACTATTATTTTTTATTTATGAACAAATTTAAAATATTATCAATTTTTTGTGTAATATGGGAAATGTGGGTTTCATAAGAATGATCTTTTATTAAGAAATAAAGGTTAATACAGATTTGAACAATCACAGTGGTTTAAACAATTTATACAGTATGTAACAAACAATCCGTTGATCGTTTCAGGGACGTAAAGGTGTACTATGAATAGGAATTTAGCGTTTTTAATCAAATAACTAACTAAATTTATTATTTCTAAAAATGTATCTGAACTAAACGACAAGTGCCGACATACCTAAGGCCACTGTGAGGTCTCTGACATGGCCGATACATCATTTTTTTAATGCGAGCCGCTGCGCAACGCGTGCAGCCCCAAGGTTTGTGTGTGAATGATCCCCTCAGCAGTATCTTTATGGTACTTTATGGTGGATCATATCTTATATGTTGCAACCATTGCGGCAATTTTTTACTGCTAAGAAGAAATAATTTATTTAATTCGTGTTTTCTTTAAATAAATGGGTACATTATGTTTTGGTTTATACAATAAAGTAGTTATAATAAAAATTATTTTCATCTAAATTCATATATTATATTTATTCAATTATTATTAAAAGCGAAGTTATTTCCAGTATTTTTTTCTAGATACAGTTATTCTCAGAAACTTTTAATTTAAATTTAATAGAAATAATAATGAAAATATTTTAAAAAAGTACTGGTAGTTTATGAAAATTTCATATCTCTTCTTGAATACCTAATAATATTTAATACGTTCATATTTATTTTATACTAGCTCGCCAGGCAGACGTTGTTCTGCCCTTTCCAACGACCATTCCTATAAAAATCCTAAAATTCCCAATAAAACATTTTGAGGGTCATTTAGCATTTATAAAAACTATCCAACTCTCAAGTTGGACCAAAATGCACACAGTGTGAAAAATTTCTTTGATATCAGTTCAGTAGTTTAGGAGTCCATCGCGGACAAACAATGTGACACGAATTTTTATATATAAAAATTATAAATTATCTTACAAAAATCATTTAACTAAGTCACTTAACGAGAAAAAATCTTATTTCCTCGACGTAGATGACGATGTTTTGAAGAGTTTTAACAGTTTCTAAAATTATGTTGAGATCACATATACATTGGTTTACGATCTATCGAAGTCAACTACTGACCATAAGCCTATTCAACAGAAAACCTCATAAGGGGGTATTTTTCATAGTTTCCACTTCTGCCAGGCGGGTTGACAACCGCATTTTTTTCCTTGGAACTAGTTGTTGTTAGGAAGATGCTGTTACCCATCTCCTGATTTCCATCTGCCTTTTACCACACCCACGAGATTATTTGGAGTAGTGAATATTCTTTCATCGTCAATACACATTTTTATCGGATACTTATGTTGTAAACCACATTATTACTAATTAGAGATTTGGGAAAAATATTTAAAAAAAAGGTTGTTTCAAGTATAACATGTCATGATTAATTTCAAACTTGCAACTATTTGTAGGAGAAATGTATTATGCGTCTTTCATGTGAAACTTTATTCGATAAAGAATATGTAACAGAATATGTAATTATTTTTAAATAGAT